TGCAACAAGCAGGAACCTCACACAGCCACAAAAAGCCCAAAAAACCAGCTTTCACACTTTACACACACAAAATTCCACATATAGCTTTGTGAGATTTTGTGTGTTTGTGTAGTTAGAGTGAAACACTACAGAAACACACTAAAGCTCAGAAAGCTGCACAAATATTATTTTATTTTTATTTTTATATAAACAGCTAAATTTAAAACTTCCTAAACTTTAAATGGCTAAGTCTAAAAAAAGAACAACTAAAAAAACCCCCAATTAACTATTTTTTTTAAAGCTCCCAAAGGGGAAAAAAACTTACCCAATAGAACAGGGATCTCCAACCTTGGCAACTTTAAGACTTGAGGACTTCAACTCCCAGAATTCCTCAGCCAGCTTTGCTGGGAGTTGAAGTCCACAAATCTTAAAGTTGCAGATAGAGCTGCTCACCGATTAGTTTGATTGCAGGCAGGGAGATCCAGTTGCTTGCTGATGCATGGATTGCGATCATGCGATCAGCAGCTAAGGTAAGCAAGCTGGAGGAAAAAAAGGCTCTGATGATCGCGGGGCTCAGCTGGGCATGGGGGGCGGGGGCAGGGATTTTTGCTACCGGTTCTCCGAACTGCCCGCCGCCATCGCTACCTACTCGCCCGAGCCAGTCCTAACCGGGACCATTTCACCCCTGTGTTAAATGAATATATATTCAGGAAACAGGAATCAACAGAAGTGATTTTGTGGAAAGCCTTTCATATAGTACAATTCAAATTCATGGAGAAAGTTTTGGCTGAATATGGATTTGTTTGTTAATTGGATTAAAATGTGCTATTCATATTCTCTTGTCAGCCTTTGTACAAATGGAATTATTTCCACATTTATCAAGATGTCTTACTGAAGATTTCTTTATTTCATCTTATGTTTAATACAGGAACAGAGAATCAAAAGGCATTGTGGACATAAAATTCAGGTGGTGCTGAATTTAACTTTTCCTTGTATGCTGAAATACAGGTAGTCCTCAACTTACAACTACAATTGAGCCCAAAATTTCTATTGTTAAGTGAGACATTTGTTAAGTGAGTTTTGCCCCATTTTACAACCTTCTTTGCCACAGTTGTTAAGTGAATCACTGCAGTTGATAAATTAGTAACCTGGTTGTTAAGTAATCTGGCTCCCCCATTGACTTTGCTTATTAGAAGGTCACAAAAAGTGATCACATGACCTTAGGACACAGCAACGGTCATAAGTATGAACCAGTTGCCAAGTGTCTGAATTTTGATCACATGATCATGGGGATGCTACAAAGACTAATTGTGAAAAATGATTATAAGTCACTTTTTTTCAGTGCCGTTGTAACTTTGAACAGTCAATAAATGAACTGTTGTAAGTCGGGGACTACCTGTATAATGACATATAAATAATTATGAATATTCTGTGCCAAAATATATTGATAAAATACCACTGTTTGGTAAAATCTTAGGTAACTCTGCTAATTAGAATAAGCCTCATATGGTTGATAGAGACTAATGTATTTATAAGTATGTATAAAAATGGAGACTTCATTTGGTATTTGAAATCTTTTAAGTATATTGGAATATTTATTCCAAAGGAAAAATATAGTAGTAAATATTTCAAAGTGATATTGAATAAATAAGAAGTTAGAAGCACCAATTAGCTTATGGCAAAAGATAAAAATGGAAATGAATATTAGTTCAAGATGTTTATATGTACCCAGATGAATTCCCATATTAATATCTTTGAAATAATTCTAGCAGATTGACAAATTATTTTTTAAAAAATTATGGGAAGATTAAAACCCTAGATTTATTATATCTGAGATGTAAGATTTATATAATCTGAAGATAAACCAATTACATCTGTTAAATCAGTCACCATGTGATTGTGCTATTAACTTTCTGAATTTTTTGCTTTATTGTTTTTGTACATACATATGTGAAATGTATACATCTCATACATATATGCAGAAATATATTTTAACTTCTGTTTCTCTATGGAATTCAAGCAATGAACTCCCAAAACAGTTACAGACAAAATTTTAAAAATTGCTGTTTGACACCTATGACATCAGCCTATGGTAGAGACTCATTTAAATGATTTTGGGACGAAAGAAGAATGTTCACCTTTGTTCACATTTTAAATTTATACTTTGGGATAAATCCAGTGTGAAACATGTAGGAGTTTTTTTGGAAGAGTGAAATATGTAGGAATTTATGGGCTAATTGTGTTAACCCAGATCAGCTAATTACTGATCAAGTTTCTGAGTTTTTGCAAGAGGAATCTGGATAGTCTAAAACTGTCCCACATAGCACTTTATCCACTTTAATGGCAACAGTCCACTAAGTACATTCTGATTTCACAATTTTGTTCAGATGCATTAGCAACATCTAAGCCTTCTAAATTATTCTCGGCACTAAAATAAGACATTTCAGTAGGCTATTTCAAATGTGCAACCTTTTTTTAAAAGCACTGTTAGGGTAAATATTAATTATTTGGAATAACTTTGGAATAAATAATGGAGATACACCATATTAAAAATGCATCATTAAGGGCTTTAAAATATATTCAGTACTTTTCTTAGTAAAATGAAATCCATTCAACAAAATGTTCTTTTCTTACATTTATCAGATACTTTGTTGGAAAAGAGTTGGCTGTCACCTTTGTTATATTGGAAGTCAAAATGATGGAGAAAACATGAAATATATATTTGATATGAACTTATCCAACCATCATCTCATTTCAGTTTAATATCTATTTGTTTGTCAATGTGTTGATACAGATATCAAGACAGTTTAGAGACATGAATATGCTTTCAAATTATATATCCAATTTTGGAATCATGAAGGACTGTAATTGTAGTGCAGGCTCAAATTATGTAAAGACCTAGGTGTTGGAAAAGACTCTAATGCAGGGAAAGGAAAGAGCAGAAGATGAAGACCAGCAACAAGGTCGATATAATACTTAATTACAGTGGCAATGTTAGAAGACACGAAAGACCAGGTTAGGAACAGAACATCATGATGTAGAAAATCTATCTATGTGGTCACTAAGAATTGAAAACAACTTGACAGCCCATAATCAAGTGCATGTAGAGCATGTGGAACATACGCCAAAGGTGTTTTTTCAAGAGGCAACTGGGCTTTCTTGTTTTCCTTTTTCTTTGAAGACGTTTTGCTTTTCATCAAAGAAGCTTCTTCAGCTCATGTGGGACATAGCAAAACATTTTTCATTTTTTCCAGTTTGTTTTTTCATTTGTATTATTCTTTTTTCTTTGTATTTATATATTAAAGCAAACATATTTTAAAAATAAAATAATTTTAATAAATTATCAACACATTTAATAAAATTTAAATTTAAAAATAAAATATTTTAAAAAGTTATTTACATATGGGTCACTATAGAGCCTATGTATTTGAACTAGGACTATAGGACTTTTATTTAAGACCTACCACTCATATTTCTTTCCAATATAATCAGAATTTCTCCACTCTTAGCCAAAACCTAACACTAGCCATATTTCACTGATGACTCCATTTTGATTGAGATTTAAATCCAGAAAGGAACCATTTGTTTATTCATTTAAAACATTTACATGGCCACCCATCTTAAAAACCAAACTCTGGATAGCTCACAATCAAACCTTCTCCTACTCTGACTTCATACTATTCCAACATTGGAGAAGCCAGTTCTTTCTGTTTTTCAGAAAATAAAAAGGCACCTGCTGGATCTCAAGAGGGAGGATGTTTCATAGGACAGGGCCCAAAACACCTATCAGGCCGAAAACCCAAAAATGACACATGGTGATACTTCCAAGCTGAGTTCTTTATTGTTTCCACACCTATAGGCAGAATCTTGCCAGACTAAGCACTCTACTATGCATTGATCTATTCTTGAGAATTATTAGGGAGGGAACTGTCTTCACCCTCTTTCTCTCACACAAAATATCTTGACTGAGTTGCCTCTTATTTCTCTGGAATGCACCTCTCCCCTTTCCTGGGAATCCAGCCTACTACATTCCTTCACATCCTACAGTCGACAAAGGACCCTGTTTAGGTCCCGCAAAATGGAAACATTTAAGGAATGAGATCTGGAACATGCCTATCCTAGCCAATCTGTTGGGAAGAACAGATGTTCTGAGTTCCACAAATAACCTGATCCCATGCTATCGTCTTTCCCTGAAAATAAGACCCTGTCTTATATTTTTTTGAACCCCGAAATAAGTGCTTGGCCTTATTTTCGGGGAGGTTTTATTATTTTGGGGCACAATGGAGCAAGACGGGGCTCCTCGTGCCATCTTACCTGATTTCCAGCTCTGTCTCCCTAGCCCTAACCAGAGGAAATAGTGGGGATCAGCTGCGCATGCGGTTAAACATTTTTGGGTAGGATTTATTTTCAGGGAGGGCTTATTTTCAGGGGGGGTTATTTTAGCACATGCGCTCAAAAGCCCGATTGGGCTTATTATCGGGGAATGTCCTATTTTCAGGGAAACAGGGTATATAAGACTTTAAAGATGAAGGGGAATAACCATCATTGTAAATTGCCCCTAGGAGCCAATGTAGCTCTCTTTTGCCACCAAGAAAAATATAAAATGTAATATTTGATTAGCCTCAGCTAGGTGATAGGGCTGAAATTTGCTGATGAGTATCCAAGATGTAAGTTCCAAAATGTAGTATACTAGATAAAACAGTATTCCTATTTCAATTAAAAAGGTTTGATTTAAGAATCATTAGAGCGAGTCAAGCACTAACTCACCATCTTTTTGCATTTCTGATTATAAAGTTTTGAAGTTTTTTGCCTGATTTCAGCAGTTGCTATGTTAATTGTTTCTTTGCAGATGTTAGCAATCATTTAATTCTTAAATGTGTTTAAGTGCTTTCTGCCTGTCTACCCTACTACTCTTGGTTTTCACCCTAGCATTGACATTTCCCTTCTGGTCTTAAAGTTTTTAGGAAACATAGGATTAGTAAAGCTATAGTTCATTATTGATCTTTTTTTTATTGTTGGTGTAGAGCATATTTCAATTTGCCCTAAATTCCTAACAAGTCTTATTTCACATTCTTATGATAGCCTTTGTATTTGTTCAAAGATTATAAAACGGGTGTCTTGTATACAATCTGTTCTGAAGCTGTCAGACTGATAAAATGTGCTGTTTTAATGTATAGGGAAGGATGAGCACCCAGTTGTCAAAATAATTTGAACCAATCAGCATGTTGTAGGAGGAGCAGTTGCAATCTGAGCTGTGAACAGATAATTCTGAATGAAAACCCTTTCAAACAAAACAAGCTGAATATCAACTAACCATTTTCAATTAGGTCTGATAATGGGAAGGGGAACAGTCATTTTTCAGAGATCAGGGAGAAACAACATCACCATGTTCTATTTCTGTTGATTAGGTATTTTAATCCGAACATTATCTGGCAAAGGACTTACGGGGAGTCCTTATGAATTTTTCATGAGCTGCATATGCTGCTGAATGAATTCAGTGAGTGTCACACCATGTAGCTTGCAGACAACCCACATCCACAAGGAGGCTACCGAAACAGAAAGCACTTTGGTGCATTTTCAGAGGCAAAGCCAAGCCTGATAAAGCTCTTTTCTGACAGGATTGATTTATCCATTCTTCGATTATGCTGCCATTTCTTTAGGCAGCCTTTTCATTCAGATCTACATGCGATGAATGATCAGCACAGAGCTTGTCGAGTTATCAGCATTTGAATCCCTAGCAATGTCTTTGGGCTGTGCTATTGTTGTGTTTTCTGTATGGTGAGAGCTAACATAATCTCCAAGCTATGACAGCAAAAGATTCTTCTAGGGAACTTGCTTCTCCGGAGACCGATGTTTATATAAAGACTTTCAAAGAACAAATGCATTTAGAACTTGAGCTGCCCAGAGTGTCCGGGAACAGAACCACTTCTCCGAAAATATCCCCCCGCAGTTCTCCAAGGAACTCTCCATGCTTTTTCAGAAAGTTGCTGGTGAATAAAAGCATCCGTCAACGTCGACGTTTCACAGTGGCACATACATGGTAAGATGACTTTGGTATTGATATTTATTCAGCAGGGGATATGTGGTTTTTTCTTTTACACTTTACAGAATCAGCTGCAGTAATAAAAGAATGTATAATTGGATCATTTGTGTAGCTCCTGTCCATATATAAACAATTACTATATTTGTGAATTTAGATTAACCTTTGCTAATTTTTTAAAATTATTTCACTGAATTATTCATTTTCTTAGTCTGATGTAATTGATATTATCCTGCTTTGGGGTGTTTTGAGAACCCAAGGCTGCTATATTTTGATTTTCATTTGACTGTAGGGTAAAATAACCCTCTGTGAAGCATCTTGAAGGAAGGTCTAGCAGTCAGATAGCTTAGATTGAACATTTTGGGTGTTTCAGCTCCTTGTGTTTTTGACTGAAACTGATCTGGTTTGAACTGCATTAATTAAAGTCTATACTAAAGAATGAGTAGGTTTTTCTCTCTTAATTTCTGCTTCTTTTCTATCTGTTCCATAGTTATGCCTTCTATTTCTACATAATCATTTAAAACTTGTAATGTTTTCTGTCTTAATTCATTTTTTAAAAGCTTCAGTTATATTTGCAAATAAAAAACCAAATTGTGAAAGGGTAAGTGTTAGGAGGAGAAACAATCTCAAGTATGTAGATGTTCTACTGTGGTTGAATTAGGATTTTTGTCCTTCTTTGGCATTTTTAGCTATAGAATAGATAAATAATGTAAAAGACTTCATGTTATAAAAAGTTTATTTTTCCACTGAGCAATAACTTTTTTTAAAAAAAGAACTTTATCTTTGCCTGTTTCTATATATATGCTTATAGCACTCTGGAATTGATGGAGTTCTGACCAATAGAAAGACCATTATGAAAAGAAAGTGTCACATGATCACAAACTAAAATAATATTCATCACGGACTGTAGACTATAGGACTATCAAGTTTGTCTAATTTGGGACAATTTTTAAAAATATAAATTATAGTATCTTTGAATTCATTCTTTTGAATAGCTTACCATTCCAAATTGAAATGTGTCATAGTGTTAGAAGTAAGTGCTACTGATCTATTCTCAATATTTCATAGTTTTAAAATTCTTCACACCTATCAGTTATACAGTGTTGCAGTGGCTATTATTTAAATTCATTTCCCATAAATGTGAGCTGATATGATAGTGCCCATGTTTTAAAAAAAGGAACTGGAGAGAGAAATGTGGAAGATATGCATTAAAGTATAGATAAGCATGGGGAAAATATATACTTGTTTTCTTCTGAGATTGTCCAAACATTTCCATTTGGACTAAACAGTTCCATTTCGATGAAAATATAGATAGCAAATTTAATTTTCTACATTATAAAGGGATAATAGAAAAATACAATATTCCAAAAAAAATTTATATGTAATAAGAGATGTGAGGAATGTTTTGTTTTAGCAGTGAGAGATAATTACATTATTATATCTGGGGTTGTCTTTGCATATGATTCAGAAACTTCAGTGTAAAATACATTATTCCCACCTGTTTATTACTTGATGGAAGCATGTGCTTAATTTTACAGATAAAATTTAATGAGATTGGAATGCTTAGTTTCTGCAGAAAATAGTTACAACTTGGTTATGAAACATCAATGAATTGGCAAAGTTATCTTGATTTGGCTACTGTTCACTGTTTCCAGAACCTGGTATACTACTCCAATGGCAGATCTGAATTCTTATAGCTGCCTCTAAAACTATTCAGATCCTCCCAAATCAAGCAAACATTGCACAGTTGGAACTTGGATAATTTGTTATGGAATTCTGGTGATACCATTTGAAAGGGGAGCTTTGCGTTAGCAAACGGGTTGCTAGGGACTATGGTTCAGAAGCTATGAGATGTCCATCTCTTTGCCACAGAAAAAATGGATAATTATTTTTTTATATTCTGGGGAAGCAAGAAGAACACTGTTAAAATCCAGATTTTTTAAAAAAAACTAAAATTTGATCCTTACTGTTTTCATTAATTGGAAATATTTTTTAAACTTTCCCTTTAGAGCATTTGATCCAGAAAGGGCAAACAAAGTCATTAAAACAACTATTCATTAGAAATTGTAAAGAAAGCAATAATATTAGGTAATCATAAATTAATTAGGGTAGTTGAAAAATATCCTGGAATAAGATAATGGCAAACTATTTTCATATTAACTGCCAAGAAATTTTTTTGAAGGAAATTCATCTAAAAAAAATCCATAAGCTAATAAAATAGTAGATTATTTTACTACAATAATTAGTAAACACACAGTACTTCATTACATAGAATGGCCTCCTAGGGCCACTGCCAGAAAAGGGATTGGAAAGAATTCAAGAAATGCTACTCTGCATGTTTTCCCTGTTTGTTTTAGATCTTCATGTCCCGGTTCTGTTAACAATGGCATTGGAACTAGATAGGCAATCCCTTCCTGACAATATTATTTTGTTTGGTTTTTTAAAAACACATGGAAAAATAAGTGTCAATCTGTTAGATGTAACAAATATATAAATTGCATTTGTGCATAGAATTGGTTAATAATACCTATCCCCACTGATTGCAGTGGGAAAGTGGCTCAGAGCATACGATTGTGTTGGATATGCTTGTGTAAGAATGAACTGAGCATACTTCCACTTAATACAAAACCTGAACTCAAAGGTGATTGGGACAATTTGAGTCATTTGAAGCAGATCAAATGACACTCATATTTCCTATCTCTTATTCAAAAATTATCTTTGATACATTTTTAAAATTTATTTTGATTTATATGCCGCCCTTCTCCGGAGACTCAGGGCGGCTTACAAGGCGTTAAGCAATTGTAATACATTGCTTTTGATATATATATTTCAGGGATTCTACCACATGTTATATCATACGCTACTTGATTTCTAAAGCAGTTGGAGCTTGGTCTTACAAAACACCTTGATGGGAAAGAAAAGAAGAGGGGTTATTAAACTCAGTCCACTGACATTCCTGCCCTCAAATCGTAACACCTTGAGACAGGAGAGAATAATTTCCTGGAATGCTAAATGTTTAACCACTTGTTCCTCTCACTATTTCCCTTTTCCCATCCATAGAAAAAATAAGTGTTGTTTTATCTACCTGAATGGGTTAAAGGCTACATTTTAAAGAAAAAAATATTTTAACAATTTATCCTTGCCGTTACTCTCTGACAATCAGTTTTATCATATCTAAGAAGGGCACTATAATTTGTCACAAGGTCTTCCATTTCCATCTGTGAACACTTTGAAATAGACCACATCAGGAAACACTCTATAGGAAGGCCCGAATATGCTTCATAGAAATAGATTACAAATTTTGCAAGTCTGATTATGCTTCTCCTGCTTTCCTGTTTAAATCCCAGTGAGTCAGGGGGGAGTCATTTTCTTAATACTATCTCCTATCTCAGAGCTTTGGAATACTTCTGTCCTTCTTATTTATGTAACAGTTTCTGAATATTTGTTTCCAGGTCATCTCCCTCACTCTCTACATCTAGCTAGCTAGCTGAAAATTGCTATACGTTCTTTATTATAATGTTCAATCTGTGTGGCAAATTTCATTAGGTCTCAAAACAAAAGATTCATGGGCATTTACCTGAAATACTTAATGAAAGGAGTGTTGTTTTAAAATCTTTCCCTAAATCCTAGTTACTGTGTGAACAGCTATTAGGATTTCTTGTCCCATCTGCTGTGATATAAAATAAAAGGTACTAATTACTAAGGAATTTGGCATGTTTCATCCACTTACATTGTTTCAGAAATGTTATTCCATCCTATGAATAAAATTATAAACTTTTATTTATATTTTTCTCAATATTCATAAGGGGAGAGATTTTAGAAAGGTAGACAAGCCAGACGGACTATTCTGTTAACAGACACAAAATAAGTTGAGTTCCTTTAATATCTGAGGATCTGGATGCAATTGATTGGGAAGTGCTTGTTTTACTCTAGAAATTACTTGTTTTGTTTTATTTCCTTAATTGTGAATATTGTGTCAAAAAAATGACTAGTCTTGGTGAGCAAATATAATATACTTTGAGCATTATCACTACTGCTACTTGAAGCAATATAGAAATGCATTAAACTGATTTGACAGGTAACCATGACAGAAGAGAATGTATTCAGTACTGGCAGTGAAATCCACATAACCACGTCCAATTTTTGTACAAGTCATCATTTATACAAAACAGCTTTCCAGTCTGTTCTATTTTAGCTGTTTACTTTTCTATTTCAGTTAAATATATACAGGAAGAGTTTCTCCCAATATTATTTTTCCATCACTGAATTGAACACTGAAATTTTAAATTATTATCTCTTTTATTCATTAAACATGAAACTCAGTCAACTGGATATTTAAAAACGGGTCACAAATACCATTGGCTGGTGCTAATGGTCGATACGGGTTGCTGCCAGCGTCCTAGGTATCAACCAAGTATCTTCTTAAAATATACGATGTTCGAAGTAGATAAAAAACTGCAGATTTTTTGCAGTTCCGCTGGTGTTATTGCAGGAAGCTGTAATTTCTTGATATGTTTTGTAAAGTTCTTGGACATGGTACCAAGTTTGTTTGTTTGTTTGTTTATTTGATTTATATACCGCCCTACTCCCGAAGGGCAGTGAACAGCCACAGGATAAAAACACATAAATACAAAATTTAAAACTGAATAAAACCGAATTAAACAATTTGGCCGAAGACAGATTTAAAACACCCAATAAATTAAGAACAAATTAAAATTTGCGTTTTAAAAAGGGAAAAAAGGGAAAAAAATTAGGCTAGGCCAGCCTGATAGAATAAAAAGATCTTGAGAGCCTGGCAGAAGGTGCATAGATCCGGGATCCTCCGTATCTCTGGGGGGAGCTCATTCCAGATAGTAGGTGCCCCCACAGAGAAGGCTCTCCTCCTGGGGGCCGCCAGTCGACATTGTTTGGCCAACGGCAATCGGAGGAGTCCCTCTCTATGAGAGCGTACCGGCCGGTGGGAGGCTACTAGTGGCAGCAGGCGGTCCCGTAGATAACCA